AAGGTAATACTAACTTCATATGAGTTGGGTAGTTTAATTACAGGAGAGTATACAAAACCAGTGCTAACAAGCAAAGAAGCTGACGCCCAGAAAAGATATAAAGAGGATCTATTATATTGGCAACGTGCTGACTCTAAATGCCAAAAACTGATAGTAACATCGGTTGACAACGGTCCAATGCAATACCTGATTAACTGTAAAACATCGTATGAAATGTGGACAAAATTACTCGCTGTCTATGAGCAGAAAAACGAGGCGAGTATACATTTAATACAACATAAATTTTTCAGTTACGTAAAGGACTCGGCTGACGATATGTCGACGCATATTACCAAATTGCAAAACCTACAGAATCAACTTAGTTTGATGGGACAACCAGTCACAGAATCTATGCTTATGACGAAAATTCTAATGACTTTGCCATCGGAGTATAAACATTTTTACAGTGCATGGGACTCAATGCAGCTAGAAAGTAAGAATTTAAATGAACTAACATCTCGGTTACTTATTGAGGAGTCGAGAATGAATCAAGGTAGTTCGGTAGTTGAATCTGTAGAAGAAAATAATGCTTTAACTGTTAGAAAGTTCCAGAAGAAATTTTCTAAAAAGACAGACAGTGAAAAATTTGGTGAACGGAAAGTTGGGAATCCAAATGTGGGTACTAAAAAGATAGGACCCTGTTTTTATTGCAAAAAGGGCGGTCATTTCAAAAAGGACTGCAGGAAGTATAAAAAAGACCAAGACGATGCCAAGGGAAATTCGTCACAATCAAGTGAAACAGGACAAGCTTTTTACAGTGAACTGTTATTCACAGAACAGGAATCGGATAACTGGTATCTAGACTCTGGTGCTACTAATCATATGACGGGACATAAAAATTGGTATGTTTATTATAATCAATTTAAATCGCCAATTAAAGTGAAAATAGGCGATGGCACTATTTTATATGCGCAAGGTTCTGGTCAAATCAATATTATATGTTATGTTAAAAATAATCAGTATAATAATTTTATGACTAATGTTTATTATGTACCTGAACTAAAATATAATTTATTCAGTGTTGGTTCTACGTTGGACAAGGGCATAAAAATGAAGTCAGATAATAAAAAATGTGTATTTTTACTAAACAACAAGATCATTTGTGAAGCGGTACGCAAAAATGGCTTGTATAATGTTAATATTAGAATACAGAACCAGCCAATTAACAAAACGGGTTTCGTCAACGATGTGCAGCCAGAAGCAACGGCCGTAGTAGCGAGTTCATTAACATTGTGGCACGAACGTATGGCACATCAAAACATTGGTTACGTAAGAAGTGGTTTACTTAAACATAATATTAAGGTGGAGAGTGACAATAACTTCACATGCGAGGCATGTATTATGGGTAAACATAGTAGAAAATCATTTCAAAGTCGGACGGACAAATCACAAAAAGTGGGAGAATTAATATTTACTGATCTTTGTGGACCTTTCCAGACAGATTCTCTAGGCGGGTCAAAATATTATCTTGTTTTTAAAGATGATTTTTCACACTTTAGAACTGTATATTTCTTAAAACATAAAAATGAAGTTAAAGACAAACTTGAATTGTTTATTAAATGTTTTAAAAATGAGACAGGTAATAAAATAATAGCAATACGTTCGGACAACGGCGGAGAGTTTGTTAATAAACAGGTTTTAGGAATATTAAACAAGTATGGAATCCGTCATCAGAAAACAATAGCCTACACACCACAACAGAATTCTTCAGAACGCGAAAATCGTACGTTGGTGGAGGCTGGTCGATCAATTTTATATTCCAGAAATATGGATTTATCATTATGGGCAGAAAGTATATCATACGCTAATTATACCTTGAATCTCACAGGTAAAAGCTCAATTAATAATAAAAATCCATATGAGTTGTATTATAATAAATTGCCTGACATAAATCACTTAAGAGTTTTTGGAACTAAAGTGTATGTACATGTACCCAAGGAAAAACGTCAAAAGTTAGATGCCAAGTCTAGAAGCGGTATTTTCGTTGGATATTCTATTGACAAGCGCGGGTACAGGGTTTATTTTAATGATACGAAAACGGTAAATGATTGCCGGGACGATATATTCACTAAGGAAATAATAAATACAAATGAAGTTAGCATAAGCGAAAGTGTTACACAGGTTGACGACGAGAAGGAACAAGTCGTGAATGAAAAACCAGTTCAAAACGAGGAAACGGTAACCATACCTATAGTCACGGACACTCATGGGTACAGTTTACGAGACCGCAGCCAATTACAAAAACCGGTAAGGTATCGGTGCATGCTAAGTATATCAGAACCAGTTAACTATTATGAAGCGATAAACAGTGAGTATGCAAATAAGTGGGAAGAAGCAATGAATGACGAGCTTAAGTAATTAATTGAAAATAAAACGTGGGACCTTGTCGACAGACCGATAAATAAAAGTGTTTTAAACAATATGTTGGTATTTAAAATTAAGTACAATGTAAATGGTCAAGTCGAGAGATTTAAGGCGCGTTTGGTGGTTAACGGGTCAAGACAAAAATCAGGCGTGGATTTTGGAGAAGTTTTTAGTCCAGTATGCCGATATGAAAGCATACGTACAATATTAGCGGTTTTTGCGGCTAAGAAACTTGAACTCAAACAATTCGACGTGAAAACGGCATTTCTTCATGGAGAATTAGATGAAGAAATTTACATGGATCAACCATTGGGTTTTAATGACAACTCGGGTAGAGTATGTAGATTACGTAAGTCTTTGTACGGATTAAAACAATCACCAAGAAATTGGAATTTTAGATTTAGACATTTTCTAGAAAAATATAATCTTAATCCAACTGATTCAGATCCATGTGTGTATATAAATCATGATAATAATGAAATAGTTATTTTAGCTATATTCGTCGATGATGGTTTAATTGCTTCAAACAGTATTGCAAAATCACAAGAACTCATTTCAAGTTTACAACAAGAGTTTCAAATCACACAAGGAGATTTAGATAATTTCCTAGGTATGTCAATAGAGAAACAAAATTATGGCTCATTATTCATTCATCAGGCCAAGTATGCAAATAATATTATTGAAAGATTTAATATGAATAATGCTAAAGAAGTTTCTGTCCCCATATCTCGAACAGACACGTCATTCGATAACACAGATACGCAGGTATTACAGCCAGGTAATAACTTTTATAGACAAGCAGTAGGGTCACTGTTATTTCTGTCACAAGTAACAAGACCGGATTTAGCGTTTGCAGTTAATTATGCAAGTCGTTTTCTTGCAAAACCTACAAATGCACACTGGCAAATGGTCAAGCGTATAATGCGTTATGTTAAACATACTTTATATTATGGTTTGTGTTATAAATCAGATGATAATTTATTTTTGAGTGTCTACAGCGATTCGGATTATGCCGGCGACATTCAAACACGAAGATCTACTTCGGGACATTTATTTGTTGCGGGACTTTGTACAATAGGGTGGAATTCACAACGTCAAGCATCAGTTACTCTGAGTTCAACTGAAGCTGAGTTCGTCGCTAGCTGCGAATCGATAAGAAGTTTAATTTGGTTTAAAAGATTGTTAACTGAATTAACTAATGAAAAGGGATTGTATAAACCTATTTTGTATATAGATAATCAAAGTACTATTCGTTTGATTAGGAATGCAGTTTTTCACAAGAGGTCAAAACATATTGATGTTCGTTATCATTTCATTCGGGAGAAGTTTGAAGAAGGTGTATTTGAACTGCAGTATAAAGAAACAGAAAACCAACTAGCTGATATCTTCACGAAGCCATTAGCCAAGGACAGACTTGAAAAGTTACGGTCAATCATAGGCGTGAAGAGGATCACAGAAGATTAATATAGTGTTAAGAAAATATTAATTAAGGGGGTGTGTTGGAATAATAATTAATATTCTATATACCAAGAAGTATTTCACAATATATAAATATGTTGTTTATCTGTATAATAAAAATACGTAGTTGTTAATCAGGAAATGTTATAGAAAAACAAAGTTGTTTTTGTAAGCACACGTGTATGTGTAGACGCGTGCAACCTTGTGGGTTAATATAAATAGCATTTGATCTAAGGGCTCGGGGCTCAGTATTTCTATTCAGTTTATACATATTACTAGTGTATTATTGTTTCACTGTGTTGTATATATTCTATGTATAATATATCTATTATTGTAATAACATTATTTGTGTTGAATACTTGATTATCATCTACTACTACTACTCGCACTCTGATACTATATATATGTATAGTATTACACAGTGGCGGTTCTGGCATTAAATTGTTGAGGAGGCAACAACTTTGTACCCTTATTGATAAAAAAAAGCGCAAAACCCCCCAGACCTAAAATTTCTTCATACTGGTATGCTTCCCTTTTTAACTGTAAGAGAAGACTTTTGCTTATTATCCTAGTTATTAGTTATAATCGCATTACCGGTCATCTATTAAAATAATTATCATTAAAATGTACGAACTTAAGATAAATGTATAATCATAAAAACATATGTAAATACAATTTACAAAAGATGAAATTATAATCGCAAACGATTTCCTGTATGGATGCTGCTTAATAACCACTATACTGTCATATACAGGATTCATTTTGAAAAAAAAAATAAAGCTAATAAGTATAATAATATATTAACTAATAACTTATGAAAACTAAATAAAACGCCAAATAGTAAACCGGTATCAGAATTAAGTAAAAAATATAGTGATATCAAAATTCAAATTGGGACTGCTGATAAATAATTTAGTGATAATGGGAAATGGCGTTTTGTTGTTGGCAGTGTCGGTGCTGATCATAGACCTATAAAGAAATGGACTGATAGTAGAGAGAGAGGTCCGAATATCGACATCGTTAAAAAAAGACAGAGAGTTGTTAGGTTGATCATGGAAGAAATAATATTATCATGGAGAATTAGTAATATGATAATACCCGATAACGAAATTTTTATATTGAAATATTTTAATTGATCTTGTTATAGTAATTAAATTATTAAATTTCGTTTAATCTTATAATGGTATTTCAGTGTGTCATTCGTTCATGCAAAACAAAATCAATTAAAGATTGCATCATGCATCGGTAAGTTGAGACATTATTTACTTATATTATATTTTTATACATTTGAATATTGATCATCTATATATTACTAATAGTAATATACTAATAATATATAATCAATGATTTTAATAATAATATAATTTGTTTCAAAGCTGGCCTAGAAATCATGAAATGCTTTTAAAATGGACAAATGCAATACGTATGTTTCAACCAGATTTTACTCCGACGACGCATACAAAAATATGCAGTAGTCATTTTATAGAATCTGACTATAACTTGAGCTTTACTGGTAAAAAAATGTTAAAAAAAGAAGCTGTGCCAAGTGTATTTAAACTGGGTATGTTCTTCCTTATACTTGTAATTGTTACCAAATTTATGTATTTTTTTTATAAATATAATATTGTATATACATTTTGTTAATGTTATGTGATAGTAGGTACCTATATGGAAGTAATTTTTTTTAGAGTAATTTGTTAATTAAATTTTACTTTTCTTATCTTATCTTATTTACTTATTATTTAATTTCAAACAATATATTATAGAAGTATGTAAGAAATTATTCAATGTTGAAATGGTCGAAGTCTTTGATGATGAAGAAGGAAGAAATTTACTAGAAATGCCAAGTAATTTAGAAAATATTTTGTTTTTATTTTTTTATAAATCTCAAAATAAAGCAACTTCTAATGTTTTTTTTATTTTAGTAGATGAAGAAGATATTAAAAAATCTGACTTATGTAAAATGGTAGTTACTGAAACTGGTGATGAGGTTGTGCCAAATGAACCTAGCACAAGTCACTCATTCATAACACCCCCCAAACCTAAGTATGTATTCTGTTCTTACACAATTATTGTAGTTTTTATTTAAGTGTTTTTTCCCCCAGGAAACGTAAAACTTATGTTGGTGACTTTAAATCAGTTGAAGAATTGGAGAGTCCAAATTCTCGTTTGAAGTATTGGCATGCCTCTAAAAAGATGGTCGAAGTCTTTGATGATGAAGAAGGAAGAAATTTACTAGAAATGCCAAGTAATTTAGAAAATATTTTGTTTTTTATTTTTTATAAATCTCAAAATAAAGCAACTTCTAATGTTTTTTAAAATTTTAGTAGATGAAGAAGATATTAAAAAATCTGACTTATGTAAAATGGTAGTTACTGAAACTGGTGATGAGGTTGTGCCAAATGAACTTAGCACAAGTCACTCATTCATAACACCCCCCAAACCTAAGTATGTATTCTGTTCTTACACAATTATTGTAGTTTTTATTTAAGTGTTTTTTCCCCCAGGAAACGTAAAACTTATGTTGGTGACTTTAAATCAGTTGAAGAATTGGAGAGTCCAAATTCTCGTTTGAAGTATTGGCTTGCCTCTAAAAAGACAATAACAACTCAACAACGTAAAATTAAAAATCTAAGACAGCAAAATTATCGTTTAAATCAAAAAATAAAAAATTTGGATCAGCTGATTGATCATCTGAAAGATGAAAAGAAAATTAATGAAAATTGTTTTTCATTACTCAAGGTAAATATATTATAATAATGTCAAATATATGTTAAAAAAACGTATTTTTTGTATAAAAAAATTAATTTAATTTAATTTTTATAGTTATTGCTATGTGTTAAATGGCTTGGTTGATAAGGTTACGTTCAGTGTTCAGTGTGCTATGGATTTGTTACCAAAGACAGGGCTCGGATTTTTTGCAATCCTGACATCCAATCATGAATTTAAGTATCGTTGATCCGTATCCTTTTACTGTAATATTAATGGCTCATCACAAAAAATATTCTCCTCCTTTATCTTTTTACATTACATGGTTAACTACTATATATTTTATGTTCTTCACAAAATAATTTTTAAAAATTTCATTGTACGTCTTAATTGTCAATTTTTATCCACCTAAAATATTTCTAATAAGAACCATTGATATTAAAACTGATTCTATCTCAAACATTTTTATCATTATTCCAATGACTGTGTGTATTAATTTGTTATTTTTTAGTAAAATGTGATGTCATATCCATGGCTTTTATAGATATATTTAAATATCTATAAACAGTTTCATTGAGGAACAAAACAAAATGGACCGTTGTGGATTGTTAACAGTTTCACTCGTAATACAATTTTATTTAGCGTTGAAGAACATTTTTCTAAGTATAATATTTCTTTACTCGTTTTAATAATGTATGAATAGCATCACTTCTTTGAATTTTTTAGTGAAATCAAAATAATGTTGGGGCTTTGTGTTTATATGTTTATATGTTTTAAATAAAAAATATACTATTGGTGATAAAAATAATAAAATTGTTGTGTTATGTCTATTAATTTTTATGGTTACAGTATAGTTCTTACTTTTGTTTATTTGTAAAATTATACCCTAAAGAATTTATTTATATATATGCTTTTTTTTTAAAGGAAAGTCTACCTAATGCAGAAACTGCTTTAATTATGCGACAAATTCATCATGAGTCTGGTGCATACTCTCCTGAGTTACGTACTTTTGCTCTGACATTACATTTTTACTCGCCAGCTGCATATAATTATGTACGTCAGACATTCCAAAATGCACTACCCGCCCCAAGTACCCTTAGAAAATGGTATTCATCAATTGATGGCACACCAGGTTTCACTGCCGAGTCATTAAAAGCTGTAGAAATAAAAAAAAAAGAAATGGAAGGTAAAGGGAAAAAACTTGTGTGTGCACTATTAATGGATGAAATGTACATTAAGGAAGGCATTAGTTTTAAAGGGAATAGGTTATCGGGATATGTTAATTATGGAACTGGTACTGACAATTGCGATAGCTTACCGAAAGCAACCCAAGCACTTGTTTTTATGCTTGTTGCCATTAATTCAAATTGGAAAGTACCAGTTGGCTATTTCCTCATTAACGGCATAGGGGCAACTGAAAAAGCCAATTTGATTAATTTATGTATTGGATTTGTAAATCAAACTGGAGTTCAAGTTAAAACTTTAACTTTTGATGGAACTGCATCAAATTTTTCTATGGCTAAGTGTTTAGGAGCAGATTTATCAATGCCAAATCCTAAGCCATTTTTTAAGCACGAAGAGTCAGGGATGGTTGTCCATATAATACTGGATGCTGCCCATATGTTGAAATTATGTCGCAATACATTAGGCGATTTAAAGGTATTATATACCGAAAAACTTGAACCTGTAAAGTGGTTATTTTTTGAAAACTTAGTGAGAATACAGGAAGAGATTGGCCTTCATGCAGGCACTAAAATTCGTAGTAGGCATATTCAATACCATAAAGAAAAAATGAAAGTGCGTTTAGCGGCTCAAACTTTTAGTTCAAGCGTGGCAGACGCTCTACAGTATTGTTCTGTACGTTTAAAATTAAAGTCTTTCGAAAAATGTGAAGCAACCATTATATTTTGTAATAGGATTAACAATATCTTTGATTTTTTAAATACAAGAAATTTTTTGAGTAAAGCGCAGTTCAAAAAACCACTTCGTAAACAAAATGAAATTGAGGTGTTTAATTTTATTGATGACTCAATTAATTATTTGCAATCCCTAAAATGTAATACTATGAAGCATATAAATAATGAAATACAAACAATTTCTATCTTAAAGTCTACTCGGAAGACTGGCTTTGTCGGTTTAATTATTACCTTAAAAAGTATAAAAAACATATTTATAGATACTCTCATAACAAATGATCTTGACTTTTTGTTAACCTATAAACTAAGTCAAGATCATTTGGAAATGTTTTTTTCTGCAATTCGGGCTAGAGGTGGGTTTAATAATAATCCAACTGCTTTAAATTTTGAAAGTGCGTATAAGCGTTTATTAGTTCATACTGAAATTATGACTTCTTCAGGAGCTAATTGTCTAGTTATGGACTTAACAAAAATTCTGTGGGTCAGCAGTGCTACTCCAAATATGTCTCAACAAAAAAAATCTGATATTTATGTAGATATGTTGTGCGCAGAAATAACGGATGACGACCTAAATATATGTGGCGATAACAATTTTGATGTTTTACAACAAGCAGTTGATGATGTTGTTGAATATATAGCTGGCTACATTGCTCGAAAGTTACGCAAAAAAATTATATGTAATAAATGCACTGCTGCTTTAGTTAGAGGTCAAAGTGAAACAGAATCACTAATAAGTATCAAAACCCGTGGTGGATTAATATATCCATCAGTGGACACTATTTATTTATGTAAAGTTGGTGAAAAAATTTTTAAAATGTACAAAAATGAACTTTCAACAATACCAAATAATTTAATAAATTTTCTAATTATAAAAGCCACCTCCCAAATTAATTTTAACAACATTTTCGTATCCCTAAATACACATATTTTTAATCAAGACCCAATAAATAACCATCTACTACAACTCATCCATTTAATATTCCAAAGTTATTTTAGAGTCCGGGTCCATTATTATACGTTAGGTGAAAGTCAGCCAAAAAATCGCATTAGGTCTCACTTAACAAAAACTATTCACTTTAAAAACCAGTAAAATGTATTGTTCCTTATTTTATATTTTTTTATTATTATTACCTATTATTATTTATCATTATTTTTTGTATAATTATTAAACTTTGTGATTTTTTTATTATTATTATTACCCATTATTATTTTTTGTATTATTATTAAACTTTGTGATTTTTTTTTATATTTATTATATTTTGGTCGTAACTTGAAAAAGAAACAAATAAGTAGTGATTTTATAATACCTAGTGAATTTGTTTAAACTTAGATGCAGATCTGTGATACAATAAATTGTCTATTGAGTTTGTAAAGAAAAACTGTTTTTCAAAACATACTTACACGTTCTATAAAAAGTAAAACAGAATGTTCATTGATAAAATTTGAATGAAATTGTAATGGTTTTTAAATATTTATTAACGATATACTATATACATATCTATTTAAAACAATACATCATACGAAAGCATTGGATACCCGACAAAATAATGAAATACATATCCTTAAATGTTTTACAACTTCGCATAACACAATAATAACTAATAATTAAATAAGATTTAATTATTATATATTTCCATTTGGTGTATTGTCATATATATATTTAAATTATTATTATTCCATGTCTTTTCAATTTTTATTCCATGGTCAACCTAACAACCATCTATCTCTTTCTAACGTTGTTCATAACGCGGCTGCATAGGCGGGGTGTGTGGGAGGCGCAGTCCATATCTTTATAGGTCTATGGTGCTGATGTACATGCTGAATGTCTATGTCCCATTTCTTCCCCAAGATAAGAACGATCATCGGTCAGTTGCCCACAAAGGCAATATTTTTGTGTCGCCTCTCGCAGAGAATTGCGCATGCGCTATTCGTATTATTTTATGTATGTGTGTGTGTGTATGTTGTGAACACAACAACATGACGTGAGACATTAGCGGCAGCCGCCTCCGCCGGCTGCCCTTATGCCACGTGAGTAACAACAGGCAGCGGCCGGCGGACGGCGGCTGTTGCTTTCAGACGGTCACCGCTGATACGGAGAGACGTTATTTCAAATTCTTAAATTTTTTTTTTCGCTTTCAAAAATTATTGTTCATATACATTTTTTTCAATATTTTCGATTGAAAATATTTAATGTAAACCAAAATATCTCATCATAATAACAATATTAAGTACATAGTTTCCTCAATTTTCAAGGGAGGCACCGCCTCCCTTGCCTCCCCGGGAAAACCGCCACTGGTATTACAACAAGAATCACAATCGCGAAGCGGATGTCGCATCTTGTTAAATCGACAGAATCTATTTAAAATGGCTGATTTAGAACGGATTATATACGACTGTATTGCAAGGCATACGGCTAACACTATGGATAAAGTGATAAAGCAAATGGAAATAACGTTCAAATATTATGAGGGCAGATTTTTGCCTACTGTCGAAATAACTAAATCAAAGTTATTGGCTTACGTCAATGAGGTTCTAAATGTCACTATAACTACAACAATAGAATCGTTGAACGAAACCAATTTTATTAGTGTAATAAAACGATTTGCTGCTTATTAATTGACTGATATGTGGATGAAAAAATTAAGCATGCGAATTGATACGGTAAATGTATTATAAAAATTATTTTCAAATAAATAAATAGATTTTTAAAAATTACTTCAAGAGTCTTCTATGACTTTCCGGAACTTTTTCAAAAATTCCTGAACTCTGTTGAAATATTTAGTACATTCTTGAAGAGCGTATATAGTGTGAATAGTGAATGGGATGTAAGTAGCAAAGTTCTGGTAGCACTGGTTGTTGTAAAAAAAGGGTAATGATGAAACATGAGTCGTAGGAATGGGATTTATAGCTTGTTCAGTATATACGCGTTTAGTATTATCTAATAAAAATATGATCTTACAGTATTATCAGTAAAATGTATTATTATATGCATGTAGTTTAATAAAATAGTTATGATAATTACATTTCATATTTATATTATACAGGGTGATCCAACTAACGTGAGACACTCATTTTCTCTGAAAATATGAATATTTTGAGAATTTTTTTTTCCCTAAACTTTTAGGTACATATTTTACTACGTCATACTTTAACAACACTGTTAGGTACTATATTATGTTCATTTACATTTTATTTTGTATCTTTTAAGGTTCTGTACATAAATAAACAGAGGTACACTACAAACTATAAGTAGGTAATACTATTTCGGTCGATATACAGTATAGTATGCCCGTAGACAAGACACAAGAAAGTCAGTTCAGAACAGTTGTTTGAATGAACTAATCTTTGTCTCAAAAATTGTACCGTCTTCATTATTTAAGTAAGTAGTACTATCAAGCTTTAAATGTTGTAATAGCGCATTAAATCAGAAATGGCGAGATTTTTAATTTGTATAATAAGTATTGCGATACTATATTATATTTTCCTATATCTTAAGTTCAAACAATTTAATATCTTGTACTTACAAGATACAAATATTTTATAGTTTTCTAATATTGTACAATAACAAAAGTTAGTATGTTTTCAAAAAGATAATGTCATAATATTG